GTTCATATTGTCAAGTGACTCAGTGTACAGGATATAGCGGCAGGATGTACCATGCTAATTTTGCATCCTAGCATGGGTCCTATGAACACTAAATATATTTATTATCATATATCCTTGCCTGGGACGGGGGAGTGGGAGTTAACAACATCCCAGGACCCCTTATCATTCAATTTTTCTCTTATTATTGGGGTGTCCTCTCATATTCTTTACTACATCTTTAATAGATTCAGTATTAGAATAATATGTAATCAGCACTGCCTTATATTTTCAGCTGATTCTGTACATCCTATATAGTACACATTGGTACTTTGGAATGATACATTATCAATATGCAGCTTATCAATTTGAGCCTTAATTTGGACAATTTCGGTTTCTCCATACACAGAGAATACCTAGCTCCGCCCATCTGTCACAGGGGATCAACCCATGTGAGGATGATGGACAGGAGAGGCTCAGATGGGCGGTACTGCAGCACTATGATGAATGAGCCACGCCCCGTTAGGAGAATGCCGGATACGTCACGTGACGCATGACATCACAGGTCACGTGACCGGCTGAGGGATTTCCCCTTCATACAGATGAATGAGCATTAGCAATCACAGAGGAATAGCCAGGATATTAGAGGCAGCTGGGGAGGTATACACCCCCACACTCCATTGGCTACAAGGTAATCATGCTTCCTGGCAATTGGGGTATTTAAGAGGCTTCTCTTCAGTTATCTGTTGGCCCCTGACGAAGGTGCATCTCTCTGCACCGAAACGTACGTTGGGCGTTTTTTCTGCACTGGGCACTGGTGTTTGGAGCACCATGATCACCATTTAATTTAACTTTATTTTATATCGTTTTCTTCTTTTCTTTCCTATGCCTATCTAGCTAGCTTTACAGGGAGAGAGGCTTTATTAATGCTAATTATCAGTCTGTTTTTGACTGATTTTTTTACTTCTATTTTCAGTCCTTATCTCTCTCTGTTTTTCTTAATATGTTTCTAGTGTGACCAGGATACTTCCTAGGATGCATGGATTATAGAGACTTAGCTACTATATACTCCTATCCCTATAGCAGATCACAATAAAGCTTAATTATAAGGGGGAGTGAGGTTATCTTTTTTACTACCTCTTGATCTATACTACCCTGGGCTGGCATAGGATTGTAGGTTCACTTGTATATACTTTGTTTAATTAGGGTCTCTGACCATATTATTTCTAATAGCCAGGTTCTATATTTGGAACATCGCGCTATACATAGATATATTTTTTCCAGTCAATGCAGTAAGTTTCATTCATATAATTGAGACGGTCTGCATATTTCTTTGTTCTTGTGTTTATATTTGGGGTTAAGCCCCTCTGAGACAGCTGGAGTCTCATACTGGTACGTTGGTCTCTGCGTGACCCCTGCAGCCACTGCCCCCCTTTTGGGGAGGTTTTGAGGTGGTGGGTGCGGCGGCTATACAGGGACTTGGAACGTTGTGTTCCTTGCTCTTTTTTTTATATATATACACACACACATATATATATGTATATATACATACACACACACACATATATATATGTATATATACATACACACACACACATATATATATATGAAATGAAGACAGGAGCATTCTATTGGATTTCCACAAGTGTTATTCAAAGAATCACCACCTCTACATCGACATTTCGACACTTTCGATCTTGATAAAGACCATGAAGGGTCGAAACGTCGATGTAGAGGTGGTGATTCTTTGAATAACACTTTTGGAAATCCAAGAGAGTGCTCCTGTCTTCATTTCAGTTATACTATTGCTGGGAGGCACCCGGGTTCGGTTACTGGTAATAACGGTTTAAGGTTGAGTGCCAGAGGTTGGATATTTTTATATATATTAAAAAAAAGATGACTAAAATCTGCTCCCGCCATATTCTGCTAATTTCTCATAGTCCCGCTCTGATGGTTTTCATTTAGCAAAACTGAGTTTACAGCTGGTGTCCAAACTACAGGCATCAATTTGTGAAATCATCAGCTTTGTCCATGTAATGATGGGTACCGGCCCGAGGCTGTTTGCTCCTCTTTCCTCCTTGTGGATTCTCCAACAACCTCTCCAAAATGGACCCAACTGGCATTATTTGCATCTACCTGCCTTACTTTAAGAAGAACTCGCCACCTGAATATGCATAGATCTGATAATTTTTTATTCTAGTATAAAGTACCAAAATAGCAACAACAAAAAAAAAAAAAGCTATACATTTCACCCTTCTTTAAAAAATTTTTTTTTATTCACAAATAGGAAGGCATTACCTCTACTAGAAAGCTCTGGTCATCCTGTCTCAGACGGTTATATGTTACAAGAAGACTCTGGAAGGTATTCCACACCAGCTTGCAGTGTTCAGAATCAGGGGGCCGCAGTCTGCAATAGGAAATCAGAATTTAAACACTTTTTTTTTTTTTTTTAAATTAAAAGAGTTATATATATATATATATATATATATATATAAATTATGGTAGAGCAATTGTCTTGAGTTTTAGTGAAGATGCTAATTGACACATTTAAAGCTTGGATGCTTATGGTCAACAAACCAAAAAGATGATTAATTCCATCAAGCAGCAGTTTCGGGATTAATAAACAGTTACAAATGTAGTACTGCAACACGGATAAAGTGGAGGTGTCACACTAACAATTCACCAATTTTGAAACTTGCTATTATTAGCTTGCACCTAAAATGCATAAGAGAATTATGGCCTAGCATTGTGGGAATCGTAGTCACCAGAAACACCAGAGTGCCCATGTTAGCCATGACTGTTTGCAGGTCTACAATATCCCACCAAAAAAGAATATATTTGGAAAATGTTTGGCATGGGGAAGAAAAAGGAAAAGGAAAAATGAAACCAAAAAAAAGGAAAAATTTAAAACAAACATTTGGTTCAGATTTCGTGGATTTCTTACCCCAGGCTTCCACATTTTCTGGGAAATAAGTCATGATCTAACATAGGCTGTAGTCAGTGAAAACTTCATTTATAAAGTAAAATACAAGACATGACTAAGCTGAACTCCCAAAACTATAGAATATCTGAAAATGAAACAAATATGTTCTCCAGTTTAATATAAATACCCATTTCAATTATTTGTGGTTTTGGTTTGTCTGTGGGCAAAGATTTTGCAGACAGATTGGAAATACTTTATTTTCAATTCCTAGAAAATGGCAAACTCAGCACAATATACACCACTACATACTTATTCAAACAGTTACAACTAATGGCAAGGATGCTGGTTTTCCAAAAGTGTTTTTACCTCAGACATGCAAAACATGGACTCGATATGAATATCAGAAAAGTTGATATTAAAGTAAAAAAAAGATAATGAAGTATCAAATTGCACTGTAAGACTAAGAACACACTATCTGCACATAAATATAAAATAAACAAAAAAATATCTATATGCAGCTCCAGGCAAAATGGTGGAGAGTGTTAAGTTAAGAAAACAGGACGTGAAGGTCACGGCAACATGACTTATGGAACAGACCACATAAAAAAGGCTGAAAAAGAGGTAATATGTTAAAGAAATAAATAAAAAAATAAAAAAAAGGAAAATGGAATTAAAAGGTGGGATCATTGTCTGACACTTGTAGAGAGAGCGATGATGAGAAACAGGCAGGTATACCTACCCTTAACCCCTCTCACAACTGGTACGTGTACAGTGTACTTCAAATACAGAAACTACAAGGCATCAAACCAGTCGGAATCTTTCAATAGATATTGTAACCCACCCAGAGACTATAGCCAGTGCATCTAGTCTAGACTTGAAATTTAAATTTTACCATCAGTGAAAAAATATCCTTTGTATTTTCCATCTGCGCTTATACATAAGATTTATAAGTGAGGTTTTTAATAACGGTTTATTCACTTATTTGAGTGTAAATCTGTTATTTCAATCTGTTATAAAAAAAACAAAACACATCTCATTTACAATCTTGATTTTTGTAAACCATGGAACACCTGTGTCTGCACGGAAAGCTCTATAAAATATTTTTTTGTGCAGTAGGCTTGATTGAGCATACCCATCATAACCTTTGCCTCTTGTTCTTTTAGAACTGACATAAATTTAATAGGAAGGGTTTTTCCCTACTCATTGTACAACTGGAAAATATATTGCAGCAGAATAAAAAACAAAATATATTTTTAAAAAGTAATGCCTTTAAAGGCACAAACAGTATGGGTACTATCCTATTAGTTATGGATTATCTGTTAAGAGATCCTTAAATCAGGTCTCACCTTCCAAACCACTTTAGAAGGCATAGTCTCCGTTTTTGGGACAAAGATGTTTTCACCCGTAGCCTCCAATCCAGGTGAGGCAATCTTTGCCATTCCAGATCTTGTGGACTACATCGCCCTCGAGGTATTACCAGCATTGTGGCTGTAAGAGCATTATGGGTGATTGTGTCCTCAACATCTGGATCTAACCCCTGCTCTAGGAGCTCTGAATGTTCATGGAGTGTGAGTGCATCATGAAACGTCTTAGCATATATTATATTCAGTTTGTAATTAGCGATCATAAGGTGACATTACCTACAAACTCCCAGACTTTCCATGTCCTATGGACCTCCGTCTAGAACCTTAAGCAAATCATCTCTCTCTGGCCATATAATATGCTGTTAGTTGGGTTATCTGGCATGTGGCTCACAAGAGATTCTCTCATGAAGATAATAGCATAGAAGGCTTAGATAGATAGTAACACAATCCATAGCTACAATTTATAAATGAAAATGGAAAGATTTAAAAGGGACACTGTTGGACCCAGACCATGTCATCTCATGGAAGTGGTCTGGGTGCAGTGTCTCTTTCCTTTTAATCCTGCCCTATAAAACACCACAGTTTATATTGCATGGTTAAGACTGCCTATAGTGGCTGTCTACCAAATAGCCACTAGAGGCGCTTCCTGCTGTTCTATGGGGTTTATCTTGAAATCCCCTAGAGCAAAGCATTGATTCAAGGCCACGTGCACATGGAGAGCTTACACATTAGGACCCCCCACTCGGCGCGGACGTCAGAGAAGGCAGAGACAGAGCAGGTGCTAAGGGTGTTCAGGAAGAAGGTAATGGACTGCTTTAATGTGTTTGGTTACCCTTTAATTGCTATGCATGGGGACACAAGGGAGGGCCATTAAGCGTTCTGCATTGCATGATGTCACACCATCACGATGTCATATAACACTGAAAATAATTTCATTGAGTTTAAAAAAAAAAAAAATAAAGATTACGACAGGTTCCTTTACTAGTTAGTATTCCTTATACAACTAACATATAGAAGATATATTTTCATATGTTTGGATTAAATGACTTTGTTCCATTCCAGCACTATCATGGCATAAATGGTTCCATTTTTGGAGTTGTTACAGTAGCTATAACACCTGCTCCCCATATTCCCTCTTACCTCCTATCTAATTTCCCTTCCTTGGGAAGCAATGTCACACAAGGGGTACAATACCCATATGCCATGAGCTGAATCTAATGCCAGCGCAATGAATTGTGAATGGAACCAAGGCTGTGACTATTTCTTTATTAGTCTGGTAGGAGGTTATTTTAGTGTTACTATGCACGTAGCTGTTGTGAAGGAAAAAGGTGACACCTGAAGAAGAGTTCTCTAGTTCTTCAATCCAATTCTAATTGGCATGGTAGTGTGTGCCGAAAAAGGAATTTTTTATTTTTTTTTCAAACTCTATACGTTTGAAGAATTTTCTGCAATTTATGAAATTAAAGGAGACCTAATTCACGATAGACATGAAAGTTGTACTTTAAACATATTTCTGCATGCATATTATATTTGTATAAAATAAACACTCTCTCTGTACCCAAAAAAAAAAAAAGACACCATTTTAAAACAGTGAGACGGACTATTGCAAACATAGAAACAAACATACTCCTTTTTAATGAGTTGGCTATCAAAGGTGACGAGGCCAAAGTGGACTTCACTTAGACGCTTCAGGACATAAAGCTTTCTACGAAGGTCATCCTCATTTTCCAATCCATCTCCATTTACTGCTATGTATAGACATCCTCCAAACTGCAGGGATAAAGGAAAAAAATGTAATAATGTCATATTTGTAGAGTGCTATCGGTTTAAAACTACAGACTAACAAGAAGGTTTTAATCTGTGTCACAGAATATAATTAAAGAGGATGTGACGGATGACAAGGTTTCATTTCTTGACCCTCCCATTAAACTATTAGACGAAATTGCAGGACGATATGTACATATTTAATACACATTGATAAATATACACAGTGAAAAACTCCAGACTTTAATCTTCTAAACTATCTATGATAGATGGAACCGAGCGTCTCCAAACACCTGAAGCACTTTAGCTTGCTGAGATTCTTTGTGTGTCAAGACTGTTTTGTGTTTTTTTCCATTTTGCAAAAAGGGTAGATTTCAATAGAAATTGGCACTTTTATAAATTACACAAAATATAGTTACACAACTGAAAAGAGACTTGCGTCCATCAAGTTCAGCCTTCCCAACACCTGTCCTTTGCCGTTGATCCAAAATATAACTTTCTGGAGTTGTGGAACTTGCTGGAAAATGAGTGTTCAATTATAGCTGCAACAGCTTTAAAATTTGTAGCCAGGACTGCACAACATGGAGAAGACACCAGTACAGTGTTATCCCCACGTTGTGCAGTCCTTAACTTCAATTGTAATAAATATAGAAATAAAGGTTTTATGTTTTAGATTTATTGATACACATTTTGGGTATTAGGTCTTGCAAACACTGCAGACAAGAGATCTGCAGCTTTTTAAAGCTCTTATTAGATATACTCCCAGTGAAAGAAATGCAGCAATGAACCTGTGCACGTTTTCATTGGGGCTTATTTCTACTAAAGAGGGATTTAAAAATAAATAAATCTTTATTTGGCCAGTGGAGTGTCCCTTTTAAGGTCACACAACATGTTCCTATCTTACACTACAAGCCTAGTTCCTTGTGTTTTCCAAAAAGCGTGACTACAATCCCATTTCATTTCTTTCCCAGTTCCAACGAATAGTTTTATTTTGTGGGTCATTAGGATTATTTACACAATCCATTTTATTATGACCGGATTTATACCGGGTTCCTTTCCAAAAAGACAAATACTCTTTGGAAAGTTTGGATGATTTTTTTTGTATAAAATGTCAGAGCTTTAATAAATAATAAAGTTTTTTTTTTTTTTTTAAACTAGCTTTATTCGATCAGCAGGTACAAGTTTGGTCCATTAATTTTAATACCATATGAAGGACAGAGAGATGGCCATTGTCCGAGGTGAAACACGTATATGTATCAGTGATTTTTTCCAGCAGAGTCACACAGGAGATTATTAAAGGAGCAAAGAGTGTGTTGGTGGTGTCCCCTATGGATAGCGCCTGCAAAGAAGAGAAAAAAAAGAATACTAAAATGAAGTTTCAGATGTCCAAAATACAACAAAAATCGACACATCACAGATTAAACACCAAACTCCAAAGAACGTTTTTTCATCAAATGTATTAAGTTGAAAAAAATGTTTTTCAAAAAGCGTAACGTTACGAGACACAAAGACAATGAACAGAGAAATGCATGCAGCCTTGCATACATGGATACATTTTAAAAAAGCAAAATGTTTGAATACAATGTCTGTTTCAGTAACCATAGCAAACAGGTCTCCTCTCAGTTATGGGATAATGGATCCGAGATACAGTATCAGGGGTAGATGTGCCTCTAGTGAGTAAAAATCTGCAGATGTTTGTAAACAATAGTTGCACATCTGGGTCAAATTTTAATCATGGGGGACAAACAGTTAAGCTAATGGAAACAAGTTCTTCAACTACTTAAATGATAACGTTAGATCTCAAACAAAAAAATATGTCTGGGGATTTGGTGCCAACAGATAATGTTGCTTTTTCCCCAAAAAATGCTCCAAGTGGTTGGTATTAAAATAAAAAAAAAATAAAGTTATGAGCATCAGCAAAACACTACATTTGAAAGACCATCTCCAGATCACTAATAAGTTAAAGTCATATGTAGTAATAAAGGGACAACTAAGCAACTTAACATTCCAGACCCCTTCCATTGGTTATGGTGCAAAACAGACAACCTATCTGTGCCTCCCTTAGTCATTGGTTTATAAATACAAAGATTTGTATGTGTAAGGTTGTGTATGGAGCAACGCATGCACACTCCATGTGAGTTCCTGCAACCTTAGACATTCTACCTCCTAGATATCTACGAGAGCTTGGTTTGAGACTCCACCAATCTGCAGCCAAGTCTAGTTCCATTCAAGAAATAATGTGTCGGGATTTATCATGTAATGCTATAGCAGCAACAATGAAAACAATATATATATATATATATATATAAAATTATATATTTTTTTTAAACAACAGGATGACCATATTTTAGAGAATTCACAATTTAAAAAAATTCTCTCTCTATTTTTTATTTAAATAGGATTTAAATTCGATTTTAATAGGAAGCCAACCCAGACTGAAGTGTCTCTTCATATAAAGGGTCACCAGTGGGCACCAAGATCTGTTTTCCATACATTGACGTTCAATACAATGTGCCAGTTGCTTGTTACCGGAGTTTCATCCAATGAACAGTATTTTGCACGCAAGTGGTTTTCATATTCTTCATCTGACCAGCAGAAAAGGACTTCAGCCCCCTCGGAAGCAATAAGTACACATTTCATCTGCAAACACATACAGAATGTGTTATATATTTACACTTCAATCAATGGTTTCTAACCAAGTAGTATTTTACAGCCAGGTTACTCTAAAAATGACTCCAAGTATCAACATTCCTCCCCATAGGCGTGCGCAGCTTATTGCAGAAACACACACACGCCGCGTATATATATATATATATATATATATATATATATATATATATATATATATATATATATATACACACACACACACACACACACACACACACACACACACATATATACACATACATATACACATACACACACACACACACATACATATACACACACTGCTGTGTGTGTGAGGGTGCTGTGTGTAGGTGCTGTGTGTGGGCGCACTGTGTGTGTGTGAAGGTGCTGTGTGTGTGTGAGGGTGCTGTGTGTAGGTGCTGTGTGTGGGCGGGCTGTGTGTGTGAAGGTGCTGTGTGTGTGTGAAGGTGCTGTGTGTGTATGAAGGTGCTGTGTGTGTAAGGGTGCTGTTAGTGTGTGAGGCTGCTTTTAGTGTGTGCATGGGTGAGGGTGCTGTGTGTGTAAGGGTGTTGTTAGTGTAAGGGTGTGTGTGCTATATGTTTGTGTGTAATGTGTGGGGGCCGTTTAGTTAATATCCCCCCTCCCTTCTTACCTTATGTAGGGAGGGGGGATCGTGCGCCTGCCTTCCCTGGCAGTCCAGTGGAGAGTGAACTCTAGCCCCCTGTGGGGCTAGAGTTCACTCTAGCGAGATCTGAGCGTTGCCGCGGCTCCGACCACGCGAGAGGAACCCGGCGGAGCTGCTGACAAGCGCTCCCCGGGTCCTCTCCTGCCTCCCTCCCTGCCTGTGGGCTGGTGAGGGAGATCTTTGATCTCCCTCACCTGCCCACGGAGGGAGGCACATAGCACGTGCCGCGGGGATTAGGGTGTGTCTAAGCACACCCGGCACACCCCGTGCGCACGCCTATGTTCCTCCCGTTGGCAGCATACATCTGAAAATGACTTTTAGGAGCATCTAACCCAGTTTGAGAAACGGATCTTCCCAAACCACTTTCCATGATTTCCCAGTTCTGTTCTAAATGACAGATGGTTCTGAAAACCCAAGTTGCAAATATCTAAATATCTAATATAACACAAACCGATGTTATACTGTAAACAAAGTAATTGCAATATGAAAAATGTACATCATACTCATAGCCACTCACCTTTTATAATTCTACAGCAGAGAATGATCTTAATATGACATCCAACTTTTGCTGATTCTTGGAAGCAATTTCTGCATCTGATTGCCCAGGGATTTGTTCATTTTAACCTATAGATTGAATAATATTCAGTACATGGGACTGGCAAGCAGGCGTTAAAAGTAATAAAAACTTTCATAAATAAATTCAAAAAATTATCTCCAACCCCTATAGCATAGAAAATGAACAAAAAAAGAATGATATAGTTAAAGAATACATTTATCAGTCCTAAAGGGGACACTATTAAGCTCAGAGCGCATGTGGGTGCTATGGGCCTGCGAAGGGAGGGAGGCAGGAGATTTTAACTTCTGACAGCAGCGAGCAGTGACATTGAAGGGACACTCCAGGCACTAAAACAACTTCTTACAATTAAAGTTGTTATGGTGCCAGGAGGACCCCAGAACCACTCATCTCAAGGGGTTAAACCATTCTCGAATGATTTAACCCCTAAGTTGCCTACAGCGGCGATGTCCACTTCCCCTCTGGTGACATCCAGCTTCAGAATTTGCAGATTCAGGATTTGCGGAGTGCCGCTGGGCAGTGGCACCGCTGAATTGCTGATTGCTGTCATCTCTCGTTCTCAGCCAATCAGTGACTCCCCATTCACAAAACTGTCTTGAGAAAGGTACATTTCTTTCCAAGCCAGTTTAGTGAATAGGGATTCACTGATTGGCCAACCGCTCTCAACATGATGCAGCTAGGGGAAGAGTGGACATCGCCGCTGTAGGCAACTTAGAGGTTAACCTGTTTGAGAATGGTTTAACCCCTTAAAGGGTGATAGCGGCTCTGGGGTCTCCTGGCACCATAACAACTTCATTTAGATGAAGTTGTTTGGTGTCTGGAGTGTCCCTTTCAGCATCCCGGAACAGAGTTCCAGGTTGCTAATGTCACGGGTACTGGTAAAGCAACTAGTCCACAGCAATTAAAATATCTCTGGATGTGCAGTGGTTCAAGCAGAAACACTGCACATCGAGACTCACCATGACCATTTCAAATCACTGAAGTGGTCACGGTGGTTGGAGTAACCCTTTATATAACAGACAACATATATATAACAGACAACACACATATATATATATATATATATATATATATATATATAATAGAAAATAGATGCACAAAAAAAAAACAACACTGGCTGCAAATGTTGTACTCTGCAGGTCCTCTTCCTTGACTCTGCTCATTCTGCAGTAACAGTAAGAAACTGACCTATGGTGAGACAATCAGTGTCACACAAACATACAGGAGTAGAACTGATCATGCAAATAAGGGACTGTGTTCAGCCAGGGAGGGGGATTAAGATTGGAGCATCATGGTACATTTACTTGGAGAGGGATGGAGAAAGTGTGGATGCATTGTTGAAACAGACTGTGTGTGTGTGTGTAATTGAGTGTCTATGTACGTTATTGCATGTTTATACATGTAAGTATTTATTTTGGGGGAGCACGCAAAATCTATATGTACATACAGAGGCGTAACTAGAAACCACAGGGCCTTGGTGCAAAAGCCTGATGGGAGTCAGAGTTCCCACTCGGACTCCCTCTTCTTCCTCCTGCACAGCTCCCGGTGTCACAAAAAGTTGAAAAATCCTTCTTGACTCCATAATTGCAATCAGACTTCTCCTTGGATCAACAACATGTTCTAGTACAGATTAAGGATATCACTAAATATTCTTTATTTTTTTCTCTTGCTAAAAAGCATCCGAGGCCATTAAAAAATAAAAAAAAATCTATAGCATCTCATCTTCTTTAGACAGAGAATTCCACATCTTTATTGCTGTTTCTGTAAAACACCCTTTCCTATGTTCTGTATGTGTGCATTGTATCTGGGAATGTGTGTCTAACAGTGTAAATCCGTGTGTGTCTAGCAGTGTTTCTATAGCAATGTAATTTGTGTGAAAGTTTCTGACAATGCATATTTGTATTTGTTTGAGGTGCATATGTGTAGCTGTGAATGCGTGTGTGTTTCTGTGTGTGTGCGCCTGTGTCTGGAAACGTATCTGTCTGCATGTCTAAGAGTGTGTGTCAGGGAGTCCTGCAATTTCCAATTGGCGGCTCTATACATCTGAATAACACATTCTTCCTGACTCATCACTGCCTGACAGAAATAATAAATCATCAAAATCCTGAAAAATCACATGATGCTAATTTGATTATTTACTAAAAACACAATTCATGCGAAGTTAAATCGAAATTTGAAAAATAAAGTAGAACTCAATGCACCATAACCACTACAACATGTTCTACGGAGGGAGGGAGAGGGTGGGGGGGAAGGTATGTCCATGGTCCTTAACCCCTTAAGGACCAAACTTCTGGAATAAAAACACGTCATGTGTCCTTAAGGGGTTTTGTTGGACGTACCTGATACGTCCGAGGTCACGATAGGGTTAAACATTGATTTTATTGGAGGTACCAATAAATATAAGCTTATATTTATCGATAACTTGCATTTATATTCGTGTGAGATGCACTGCTTTGCCCGGGCGCCTATAATGCTGTTAAGATGGAACTGCTGGCAATGTTCACCTGTTTTAATTCCCGACAGTTAACAATTTGGTAAATAAAACCATCACGTTATAAATGTAATTGATCAATTTCTTGCATGAAATCAGGTCTGTCAACACGCTTATTTATTGAGAATTACAAACAAAAAAATACATACACACTGCATACAGATATTTGTGCATAACATTAACAAATAACAAGTGCTATTGAAATATAAAAATAAGTTATAAATATCTAAACAAGTCAAACCCATAATGTAGCAATGGTATAAATCACTCAAACTGTGTTTCAGAGAGCCAAAAGGTGACCTCTACATTTTTATAAACAAAGCAAAACTTCTCAAAACAAACTGCTATGTACTAGGTTTGAGCAGGTGATAAGACTTATTAGCAATTAAGAAGATTCCAAATTCCAGCCATGGAACACAGCACATACAGCTAAGTGCACTAAGGATATAGCAGTATACACTTACCTAGTGCAGCATGATTAAAGCAGATACATTGCAAGTTTGTTACACTTCCTGCATTGGAGCATGTGATACAAACGGTGCACCATGTGACTTGCTCTCACACAGCAGGAAGTGGATTAAAAACACACCCTTAGATGTATTTTTAAATATACATTTTATAGGAATGTGTTTTTGATTCAAGTTTCTCCCTAAAAATGTATTTTTTTAGCAAAACAGGTAGATAAACTCTGTTCAGACTGACTGGAGCCACAGGGTTCCAGTGTAGCAAAGTATTCTGATACAGATTCTGAGTTTTATTCCCAAATAGCAGTTCTGGAGCAAATGTCTAGAATTGGAGCAACTAGCAGCAACATTTCATCTTGAAATCTGCCCCAGAATTGCTTTGTAAATGGATTGTCTAGGTAAAATTTCATCCTATTTTTTAATGTTGATAAAAAAAAAAAAAAAAGTTGCCATAAAATTAAAATGATGTCACACAGAGCAAGTCATGTATGCTGGCATTGTAAGGATCAGTGGGGTACACTGCAATACATTTAATGGACCTGCACACATTTATTCACATTTTGGAAAACTGCTCATAAGATATGCCTTGACTCGGTCACTGGACTGGCATTGCGTCGTGAACCCACACTCATGTTCCTCCACCTCATACCAATCTCTCTTTCAAAATATAAATATGTCCTTTTTTTCCTCAATGAATCATATTTATTCAGAATTTTTAGTAGTACATAAGCACAAATATTATTAGTATTAGTAGCCATTGCAGTGATTAAAGGAGCACTGTCATGCCGAACTTACCTTTCCCCAATCAATTCCTCTTCTCTCACTCTGTCAGGATCTGCTCTTCATTTCTTCCTGTCTGATCTAGTTTTCTTTAACCCCTTAATGACTGCTGACGATTCAGGACTGTCATCGGAAAAATCCCCTTGATGACCGATGACAGTCCTGAGCTGTGATAACGGTATTATTTACTTACCTGATCGCCGCCATTCCCTCCTGCGGCGATCGGCATTGCTCCCGGTGTGGGGAGACTGGCTAACAGCCCAGGCAGTCTCCCCTCGGTGAATTAGGACCCAGCGGCTAACAGAGCGGTCACATGGCCGCAATAGGTGTCCAAGTATCTGCCTGGAGGGGGACTGCCTGAGCTGTCAGGCATTCTCCCTACATGTGTAAAATGAAAAAAAAAATAGTTAATCAATAAAAATATAATTATATATATGTATGTATATTTTATATAATATCATACTAAGTGTATTTTTATATTAATATAAATATACTTATAATTAAATTACACACATATAATATATATAATAACTATATATATATATATTGTGTATATATATATATATTATAAAATACAGATAATAAGTAAATTAAAATAAATAAAAAAAAGTAAAAATAGTTTAAATTTGTTTTTACAAAATTATAAATATATATATATATGGCATTTTATTCTAACTGTATTTTGATATTAATATATATATATATATATATATATATATATTTATATCAAAATACACAATTATTAGGCAAATGAGTATTTTGACCACATCATCCTCTTTATGCATGTTGTCTTACTCCAAGCTGTATAGGCTCGAAAGCCTACTACCAATTAAGCATATTAGGTGATGTGCATCTCTGTAATGAGAAGGGGTGTGGTCTAATGACATCAACACCCTATATCAGGTGTGCATAATTATTAGGCAACTTCCTTTCCTTTGCAAAATGGGTCAAAAGAAGGACTTGACAGGCTCAGAAAAGTCAAAAATAGTGAGATATCTTGCAGAGGGATGCAGCACTCTTAAAATTGCAAAGCTTCTGAAGCGTGATCATCGAACAATCAAGCGTTTCATTCAAAATAGTCAACAGGGTCGCAAGAAGCGTGTGGAAAAACCAAGGCGCAAAATAACTGCCCATGAACTGAGAAAAGTCAAGCGTGCAGCTGCCACGATGCCACTTGTTTGGCCATATTTCAGAGCTGCAACATCACTGGAGTGCCCAAAAGCACAAGGTGTGCAATACTCAGAGACATGGCCAAGGTAAGAAAGGCTGAAAGACGACCACCACTGAACAAGACACACAAGCTGAAACGTCAAGACTGGGCCAAGAAATATCTCAAGACTGATTTTTCTAAGGTTTTATGGACTGATGAAATGAGAGTGAGTCTTGATGGGCCAGATGGATGGGCCCGTGGCTGGATTGGTAAAGGGCCTCCAGTCCGACTCAGACACCAGCAAGGTGGAGGTGGAGTACTGGTTTGGGCTGGTATCATCAAAGATGAGCTTGTGGGGCCTTTTCGGGTTGAGGATGGAGTCAAGCTCAACTCCCAGTCCTACTGCCAGTTCCTGGAAGACACCTTCTTCAAGCAGTGGTACAGGAAGAAGTCTGCATCCTTCAAGAAAAACATGATTTTCATGCAGGACAATGCTCCATCACACGCGTCCAAGTACTCCACAGCGTGGCTGGCAAGAAAGGGTATAAAAGAAGAAAATCTAATGACATGGCCTCCTTGTTCACCTGATCTGAACCCCATTGAGAACCTGTGGTCCATCATCAAATGTGAGATTTACAAGGAGGGAAAACAGTACACCTCTCTGAACAGTGTCTGGGAGGCTGTGGTTGCTGCTGCACGCAATGTTGATGGTGAACAGATCAAAACACTGACAGAATCCATGGATGGCAGGCTTTTGAGTGTCCTTGCAAAGAAAGGTGGCTATATTGGTCACTGATTTGTTTTTGTTTTGTTTTTGAATAATGTATGTAGTGTTGAAGTTATATTTGTGTGTAGTGTTGGCATTTGAATGCAGAAATATATGCACATATACACATACACTGCTACACAAACATACTGATACACATGCACACTGTGATATGCACACAAGCACATGAAACACATGCAGATATACAGACACATATACACACTGACACACATGCAGTACAGATATACCGATACACATACAAACAGATACACAACCTGACACACACGCAGATACACAGATACAAACACTGGCATACTCTGAAAAACACACTGACACACGCAGATAAACTGACTACATACAGATACATATAATGACAACATACAGATACACACACACACACACATACATATACACATATACTGTCAGACATAATTACACGTATATTGACAGACATACTGATACACATTGACATACATACTGACACACACTGACAGACATGCTGACACACACACACACACACTGAAAGACATACTGACACACAGACAGACATACTGACACACATACATACGGACACACACCACTGACAGTGTTATTCAAATGCCAAGACCACATTCAAATGCCAACACCACATACAAAGCACCCCTACATTCACACACACATACTCCATACAAAAACATGCTTACATTCAAACACACAAACAATGCTCAATGCTACATAGAACCATACAAGTGTGGGAAAATGTAGAGCCCCAGCTATCAAAGCATTGTTGGAGTTGCACAACAGATAGGGATCTACCTGTTGCCCACCCTTGCAATAGGGGGCCCCAAAGCAATTATTGGATCAGGGTCCTTTCTACTTTAGAAAGTAGAAGGGGAGGGCGGCATGGTCCAGGGGCCCAAACAAATGCTTTCCCAGGATCCAATCAATATTAAAGACAGCCCTGGTCTGTATGTGTGTATGTATGCATATCTGTGTGTCTGTATGTGTATATCTGTGTGTCTGTATGTGTATCTATATGTGTATCTTTGTGTCTGTCTGTTTATATGTATGCATATCTGTGTGTCTGTATGTGTATATCTGTGTGTCTGTATGTGTATCTATATGTGTATCTTTGTGTCTGCATGTGTGTCAGTATGTTTATCTGTGTGTCTGTATGTGTATCTGTTTGACAGTGTGCATCTGTGTTTATTTATGTGTATCTGTTGTCAGTGTATCTATTTGTGTGTATGTGTATATAATTGTGTGTTTGCATGTATGTCTGTGTGTGTGTCTGTGTATCTGCATGTTTCTGTGTATCTGCATGTATCTGTATGTGTCTGTGTATCCATCTATGTGTCTGTATGTGTGTATGTGTATACTTGTGTGGCTGTGGATGTAAATGTGTCTCTATGTGTTTCTGTGTAGCTGTGTGTCTGTATTTGTATATCTGTTTGTCTGTATGTATGCCTGTGTATCTGCATGTATCTGTGTATCTGTTTATATGTATATCTGTGTGTCTGTGTCTCTATTTGTTTGTCTGTATGTGTATATCTGTGTCTCTGTTTGTTTGTCTGTGTGTATGTGTATCTATATGTGTGTCTGCATTTGTATCTGCATGTGTGTCTGTGTATCTACATGTGTGTCATTGTGTGACCTTGTGTATCTGTGTGTGTCATTGTTTGTATCTGTATGAGTGTCACTCTGTGTATCTGAATGTGGTTTTTTTTTCTGGGGGTAAGGTGGGTTGGTGTAAAGGGTGTGAGGGGGCAGCATCCAGTAGGTTCAAGCAAAATGCTTGCCCAAGGTCCAGTCAATATTAAAGATGGACCTCTCTCTCCCATTAATTCAGAAACCTTTTGAGTAACATCTGTAATTATTTGTCTGCAGCTAAAACCATTATGTCTTATGTAAGTTGTTGACATTTGGCATTCCACATTTCAACCAAAGAAATTCAGCAATTCACATTTGGAATTTGACTGTTTGTATAGAGTAAAAAAACTCTCCATGACCAAACTACTGAATTTCAAAGATACGTCCAATTCGGTAGTCAATATATTGTGTTGCTAGTAATTATACCAATATGTGTTACCGTGGACATATAATGACACCCTGCGGAAAATTGCCCTTTGAAATTAATGTATGGGTGCCAACTATTTAATTGCCAGTAGATGGCACCAACACACCAATAATACTTACACAATAACTTGCATGTGCAATTTTGGAGCAATGCATCGTATGGACTATGCTTGGATTATTTCTCAACCCAATTTTAGACACTTTATAAAATGTGTATCATACGAAAGCACAGCTGTATTTTTGCAATGCTAAAAGTTCAAGCTTGTAAATAAAAATATGGGCATTTAAGATTGGAGAAATTCCCCACGTTTAGGAGTGCATTATATGTAGCTCTATAACCCAAAATGAGAGTATTAGGTTCAAAGTGATGAAAATTGGAAAACACTTCAACTTGCTGAAAATAAATTTCTGAATCAATCAGCATGTACAAAGATGCCTAATACATTATTAGACACAAGCCTGAAAATCCAACCAAGTTAGGATCCCAGTTATGTAAGGATCAAAGAAGACGAGTTATCCAGTATAAAGGGGCTTTCACCTTCTGGCTTCTGGGATTATAAAACCTTGTGGCCCATGGTACGAAGCAACATAATAAAATCTTCTATTATTATCATACATTTCTAAAAACAATTTATACGAATATTTTATTAGGTTACTGCATCTGACAGAACAACAGGACTCAACCTTTCACTGAGTGCAAATATACAAAGTTCAGAATACAAACTTGCTAACCACTCATCAAAACAATAAGATGTATTGATAATTCTCTACACATTAATTGTTCATTGATCCCAGTGCCATCGCAATCTCACCATTCCTATATTTTCTACCACACTTTTACCGTTATAGGTTCAGTAAGAAAGGGCCCAATTGCATAAGTTAAACAGACAAGCTTAAGGAATTATAACTACCGGTAGGTCTAAAGAATAGTTATTAACACGTTAACAAAACCATCAGACACTCCGAGAATGTAACACCTTAAAGGAGATTATTAACTACTGAACTCTTTGTCAGCAATTAATCAATACAACGTCCTCTTATGTCTTCCAAGATCTAATCAACTTGGGTGGACATCACTCTCCTCACCCTCTGATACTGAAGTATCACACAGCAGCTAGCGAGATTGCGGCACACAGCCAGGTTCATAAAACTATAAGAACTGCGCTATGGCATTGGTCGCTATCACCCTATTCATCATTTCCACTTATTCGATGTGATAAGCGGAACTGTGACTTGTGTCTGATCTATGTATCCTGTAACTCCTGTGGGAAAGAGGTTTATTTATAGTAAAAACCACCATTGGTAAAAAGAAAAGGCTCATGATATTAGGCATTTTCCTAATCTGGATGGGGTCTACCTGTTTTAGAAACTTTAAACATAATAACTTTTGTATTTATTTTATTTTTTTTACATTAGCGACCACAGCCAATTCCTGTATGTTGTGCTCCTTTCAGTAATCGGGATAAGGTCAAGATTAACATTTTTCATCTCATTGAGACACCTTTCAAGGATTGACTCCCCACTTACAGAAATCCTCACCCTATACATCAGACTCTAAGGGAGGGTTTTAAATATTGTACGCGAAAGCACACCCCCATATAAAGCAGTAATGGGTTTTTGGTATCCTAGTCAATGGTCATTAAAAACATGATGGAATCAGACAAGAAAAGAATTTTAGTTCCATTCCACACAAGCTCATCACAAGATAAACCTCTTGGGAGTGAGACTTATGTGAGGATGCACTACGATTGGTTGGCTTTTTAAACCAACCACTACCAATGCAAAGGAGAGAGGCCTGGGAAAGGTAGCAAAGCATAAATGCTATTGCTGATCACCCCACTCTCAGTTTCAATTCCTTTCACTTTCTGCATTCACGCCCCTGCACATAGCATTCACGCTCAGCACTTCACCTTTTCTTGTCTGCAGACACCAGACACCACATTTAATGCATTCACTTGTTGTACTCAGCTATCTGCACTCAGAATGAATGTTCCAGACACACAGCATTCACACAGTAGCACAGAATGCACACACTACTCACAACATTCACACAATGTATTCACATGTTAAAGAAATACACATTCTGACTCCCAATTAGACTCTCCCGTATTCTCTAATCATATAAGAAATCCTAAAAAAAAATCTATTCTGAATAACCTATGTATTTCCAGGGTAACTGTCTTCCCCAGACGTATATTTTACTCTCGATTTAATTGGTGAGTCCATTCTCCACTTTACTCTCACCTTCCAATTCTGCTACATTCCCACCCTGTCACATGGTTGCTGCCCTTCACTCTGCCCCTCCTATTGTGGTTTTATTCCCCATCTCCTCTGGATTGTAACCTCATTCAAACAGGATCCTCATCAACCTATTGTT